TGTATCCCAGACGGGAGAGGAAAACTGATAATTCCAGCAGATTTCCTGCAGAATTCTGGCTAGAGATTACATTCTCAGCAGAAGAGGTCCCATAAAACCCCAATACAATACTGATAGCCATGGTAACCTCTCAGTGCCGTGACCATCCATTCCAGATGAAAGCCTGTCTGAGATTGTTTCCATAACGACTGCTTGGCATGAGTTTCTGAACTGCATTTTCCCAGGGTGGCTTTTATAGCTGTTTGTTAGCATCCGTTCCTAGCAAACGGTTGCTTCCTTTTACCCTGAACTTAAAACTAGGTACTATGACTTCCTTTTTTTTGTTCAAAAATATTTATACCATGTTTATTTATTGAACAGGTTTAGATATTGTTTTTCCATGAGGGAAACAATGATGAACTACCATCTTTTTCAGATGTTGATAAATGTTTTAAAGGATATCCTGCAGTACAAGGCAGTGCAGCTTAATTTAGATGATGAACCATGTGTCCACATTAGCACATTTTCTACATAAAATAATACTTGGCACTCTTGATCTCTCAGAAGTATTTCCTGACAATTCATATTACGGAATAATAAAAACATTGAAATAATGTGCTGTATCTATGGTTACAATAACTGACTGATGAAATTCTGCTGACATTTGTGGTATTATTTCATTCTTTTAACGTGACGGCCTGCTACATGTGCATGCTCTCACACTTTTTCTCTCACTCAAGATCCTCAAGACTGACTTGTTCTGTTCCTGCTGTACACAGTGAGAGTGTAAAGGTAATATATTCTCTGCAGTACCTCTAATTTGCAGAACATCTAAGTTGCTGTTAGGCCTCTGCCATGTCCTGCCATTCGCTGAATCCTATTAAGCTACTAAAATTCTGTAGGTCCATGACAGGGACCATAATCTTCATTGACCTACTGTAAACCTACTACAGTGTGCTGTTTTTTTTTTTTTTTTTAAACAATCAATAGAGAAAATGCAAACAAAAAACAAATGTAAAACAAGGGAAAAGAGGCAGTACTGTATGCCTAACACTATACATATGTTCACAATGGGCTTTGATTCTGGAAAACGTACGGAGATTCAGGACTCTTGAGAATACTGGAATCAGGAATTAGAAACATTTTCAGAATTAACCCCACAATGCATCATGTGTGACCATAATAGAGAGCCAGAGCCGATGCCAGGTATTTGCAGTTTTGATGGTATTATTGTGTGACTGTTTCTAATGATTTGGCAAGCAAATCTTGGTTGGTGCACATATGATTTCATGTTATTTTAGCCTGCAAAAGGATTTATAATATATAATTGTACTGTAATTATGATTCAGTAATACTGTGATGCAAAAATAATATACTGAATAAAATGTCATTACTGTTAGAAAAAGTAAATAAAGTAAGCAGTAAGTTCCTCTGAACTGGTGTCAGGTTATATGAGAATGTGTTTATATCACTATAATAAATAATTGTGTCTTTTTTTTATACATTTTATAGTATACTATATTATCTTAAAAGAGACAAATACAAAGTTCTGTCATGAAACTCTAGATGGCTAGATAAGTTCTAACTGCTATAATGACAACATTATTCACATGGCACAGCTGATTGGTTCTTTTCGTATCAGTCAATGAGATTGCTTCTCAACTTTCAAATATCTAGCTAGTGCTTGCTGTAGCAGTTGCAGTGCGCTTCAGAAACGCTCCACCTTCCCCAGCTCCACCTGCACAGATCTGCTATGGGGTGATTTCATGTATGTTATATGTGCAGCAGCAGTATTTCTTACATGCTCACAGCAGCATGTCTGTGAATGTATTGGCAGTAGCAAGTCTTGGTACTTGCTCTGCCGCAGCAGCGTAGCAGATCTATTCTGCCAAGACCAAACACATTAACATACGGTTACATAGTGTTGGTTAAGCTTTGACATTGCATTCAGCAGATATAGGTCAGCTTGTAAAAAATTGGCATCTTGTTGCAAAATAATTAACTTATATCTTCTCAATGGTTTGACGGGTCAAAATTATGTTGATAACTTTTTGTCATGAGTGCCTGGGGATAATATGTGCAAACTTTCATGCAAATCAGACAAACAACCTAGAAAGAATTTGAAAAAGTACCCCTTATGTTTCCAGAGATATGGACCAAAATGCAAATTGACTTAATATAGCACCACCTAGAATCAGGCAGATGTGTGTCTGTGCACCTGAGTAGCGATGCATAATTGGTACCATCTTACTGAGTTTGGGCTCTCTTCACTTTATAGTCTCTGAGGCCCATATTATTTTAGGACAGAAAAATACTCAAGGCTTTTCGCCAAGTACATTAGATGTCACACTGTAATGCCACTTTAGCTTTACGTGCTTGTTTTGGATATACAGTATATGAAAAATCATGCAATCCTAGAATAGTTATCCAAATAACTTTTCAGGAATATCTCTGAAAGGGTCTGATTGTTTACACTGTCAATGTGATAAAGTCCATTCTTCATCCTCACAAGTGGTCCGCAAATCAGCACAAATTAGTTACTTTGTTATTAATTTAGGCCTACACAAAAATTAAAAAAAGTTTCTGCCCAAAATGAGTTCATAACCCATAATAACTATTCCAGCAGTAAAAATCCATCCCCAGTTCTTCGCACATGTAATATCCACTGATATACTTGTTTAAAAGTGTTTTCTGTGCATATTTCTCTCCTGATTCAGACATGAAGATTTTGCTTGGTTGGAACAGTTTTGCCATATGTACTTCAACTGACAGTCACCACTGATAAGCTACCACTAAATATTGTAGAAACTAAATTTGCTGTAAAGTTGCTTTGCAATGATTTGTATGGTGAAAAGCGCTGTGCAAATAAACTTGATTTGACTATTTAGCGCCCAAACTCTGGAATAACCTACCTAACATTGTTCGGGAGGCAGACACACTCTTGCAGTTTAAATCTAGATTAAAGACCCATCTCTTTAACCTGGCTTACACATAACACACTAATACGCTTCTAATATTCGGCTGTTTAGGCTGCATTAATTAGGTCAACCAGAACCGGGAACACTTCTCATAACACCCGATGTACTTGCTACATTGTTAGAAGAATGGCATCTACGCTAATATTAGTCTGTTTCTCTCTTATTCCGAGGTCACCGTAGCCACCAGATCCAGTCTGTATCCAGATCAGATGGTCACTGCAGTCACCCGGATCCAGTACATATTCAGACCAGATGGTGGATCAGCACCTAGAAAGGACCTCTACAACCCTGAAAGACAGCGTTAATTTAAAGGTGCACTTCTGTGCCTGTGACAAATCATTACGGATAAAAAAAGACAAAGGCTACACAAAACATGCCTTTTACTTTATTAAAGTAGTTACAGATTATTGTGTCACAGATAAGCAATCTAAAGTAATTTAATGTTAATAAATAGTATTGTATATAATATAAACATTAATAAAAAGTGGCTGTTTATACAGGTAAATGGTGTTTTAGGCATTATGCTTTATATACACTTAAAATTGTGTTGTGCTAATATGTTATGTCGAACTTTGTTATCAAAACCCATCTTTCTCTGATAAACATATTTATATTATTAATCTGTTACTTATCTTAGCAAAGCTTTATATTCATAAGTCAAAATTCATTCAAAAGAAACCATCATATACAGGTGCACCTCAATAAATTAGAATGTCGTGGAAAAGTTCATTTATTTCAGTAATTCAACTCAAATTGTGAAACTTGTGTATTAAATAAATTCAATGCACACAGACTGAAGTAGTTTAAGTCTTTGGTTCTTTTAATTGTAATGATTTTGGCTCACATTTAACAAAAACCCACCAATTCACTATCTCAGCAAATTAGAAAACGTCATAAGATCAATAAAAAAAACATTTTTAGTGAATTGTTGGCCTTCTGGAAAGTATGTTAATTTACTGTACATGTATTCAATACTTGGTAAGGGCTCCTTTTGCTTTAATTACTGCCTCAATTCGGCGTGGCATGGAGGTGATCAGTTTGTGGCGCTGCTGAGGTGGTATGGAAGCCCAGGTTGCTTTGATAGCGGCCTTCAGGTCATCTGCATTGTTGGGTCTGGTGTCTCTCATCTTCCTCTTGACAATACCCCATAGATTCTCTATGGGGTTCAGGTCTGGTGAGTTTGCTGGCCAGTCAAGCACACCAACACCATGGTCATTTAACCAACTTTTGGTGCTTTTGGCAGTGTGGGCAGGTGCCAAAGCCTGCTGGGAAATTAAATCAGCATCTTCAAAAATCTGGTCAGCAGAAAGAAGCATGAAGTGCTCCAAACTTTCTTGGTAAACGGGTGCAGTGACTTTGGTTTTCAGAGTTGATTAGCTGATTGGCATGTCACCATATTCTAATTTGTTGAGATAGTGAATTGGTGGGTTTTTGTTAAATGTGAGCCAAAATCATCACAATTCAAAGAACCGAAGACTTAAACTACTTCAGTCTGTGTGCATTGCATTTATTTAATACACGAGTTTCACAATTTGAGTTTGAATTACTGAAATAAATGAACTTTTCCACGACATTCTAATTTATTGAAATGCACCTGTATTACATTTTGTAACACTGATCTCAAAATATACTTTGAAACCCTTTCTAACATGAGATCACAAAATAAGAAGCTAATAAAAACAATACCAATTCTAAAGCTTTTCAAAATTATGTAACTGCCCTAATTTATGTATTTTTTTCTTTTCGTTCTGTTATTTTTATTTTATTTATATATATGTATATACTGTATATGTTTGTATTACTTTTGCATTTTTGTTGTTCTGTTTTGCATGCTTTGAGATGTGCAACGTTTCCCTGTTTGCATTGTCCCTTTGTGTGATGGAACTGAATAAAGAAATGTGATGTGAAATGTGAAAAAAAAAGTGTTATGTCGAGAAAACAAGTGCACGGCTCTTATCAGCCGCCGTACACCGGTGCCCCGGATGCGCAGCGTAAAGAAGGGCGCCTGCGCAGTCCACAGATCTACAGCTCATTCGGCTCGTTTTCACAGCTCTGCCGGTCGATGTTAAGATGTTGTACATATCAGCTTTGTCTGTTAGCGGCTCACTCTCACACACACACTCATTTAAACTCATAGCTCCGGTCCGCTTCATTCACAGGCCTGCTCAGTTATGAACATGACGCCGTTTTTAGCGAGTTTTATTTATTTGGCGCTGTTGTGTAATGTTAGTAGGATCTGCTGTGATAATGACACAGAAGAGGATGAGCACGCCAAACACACATACACGGTGGAGATGTTCAATGATGCCGTCTCTACTGCTCCACACTTCGTCATGTTCTACGCGCCCTGGTAAAACCGAACACTTCTAACTGAATATTTTCATTATATTGAGATATATATAAAATGGTAAGGTGATTTAAATTGCTGCAATGTTTGAAGTGACTCCATTAACTCCATTAGCCACTTTAATCTACAGAGACACTCATTATAAAGTCAATTTTCTAATGCACGTTCATACAAAGACACGAAGCACTGCGTTTTGACATTAGAGTGATGATAATAGACTTTGATAAAAAGTTTAAATTCCTGCAGTCATAAAGTTTTCGTGTACGTGGCAGAGCATTGAACAAGCCATGACATCAGACAGCCACTGTTTCCAACTCTCGCGAGACAAGCAAGCAACCGCAGCTTCAAACTCCAGCCCAATATTTTTTTTGATGATTTATTATAATCAATATTATTTATTATCAATTATTTATTACCAGTAAATGAGCCTGCAACATATTAAACTGAAACCACTCTTTTATCTGAAAAGCAAAAACAAGCCATTTTACAAAAATCGGCAAATTGCAACAAAAGTGGGAACTAGACTCATCTCCAATCACCTGTGAGCAGAATAGGATAGGAGAGATGGAAAAGGAGAAAAACACAAGAGCTTCAAAGGGAAGCTGTAACATAGCCACATATTTATAGCCTACTAAAACATAGGCTATTTGAACCATATTTACTCTTAGTATTAGTATAGGACTACTTGTTTTTTATTGCAGCCTGTTATAATTAATACATTACAAAAACTAAAATAAAAAATAGTGCTGTCAAACGATTAATCGCTTTCAAAATAAATGTTTGTGTTTACATAATACATGTGTGTACTGTGTATAATTATGTATATATAAATACACACATACAGCATACAAATATTTACATGCATTTATTTATATATTTATTTAGTCATTTATTATTTTATCCAAAGCGACTAACAAATGAGGACAACAGAAGCAATCAATTGTAGTATTAAAACGACTAAAAACAGATCCAGAACTAAAAGCTACAACTTTATAAATACTACCTATACACATTTTAAAAATAAAGAAATTAAATAAAAATGACAAATGCATACAACAAAATTTCAAAACTTAACATTTAAATGAAAAACAAAAAAATAAAGCTAAAAACAATTCAAAATATTAAAGAACAAAAGGTATAAGAGTATAATAATGATTCTAACATAACACTAAGCCAAACACCAAAAAAACAACTACATATGTGTATGTACAACCACACACACATACATATATATATATATATATATATATATTTATAAATTCAATATATATATGTTTATATGTACAACCACACACACATACATATATATATATATATATATATATATATACTTAATAAATATACACAGTACATACTACGTAAACAGAAACTTTTATTTTGGATGCGATTAATCGTTTGACAGCACTAATTAAATATTAGGCTACTCCTCTACGTCTACTTCTATCATCCCTTGGGTTACAGCGTCACGCACCTTCTTTTTGAACGTGATTTTTCTCCAATGAGGGGGAGGAGGGGGTCCACGAACATTAGGCAAATTACGCTACAGCACTTACATTATTGCACTGGTTGGCTATTAACTGCGAGCAGGCAGAATGCCATTCAATGCATTTGGGAATACGGCGAACATAAATAAAGAAACAAAGTTGCTTGTCAGCTTTGCCTAACAAGCAACCATATTTATTAAAAGAAGCCCAAAAAACGCAACCCACGTCCCGAGACTTTTTTACGCGACTTTACAAAAAAAAGAAGCCCAAAGTCACGTATAATACGTGGACTTGGCAACTCTGCAGACATCACTATCTCATCGTCTTAAAAAAAAAAAAAAGTACAATGGTAGTACCATGGTCTTTTAAACATGTGCTATATATATATATATATATATATATATATATATACTTAATAAATATACACAGTACATACTACGTAAACAGAAACTTTTATTTTGGATGCGATTAATCGTTTGACAGCACTAATTAAATATTAGGCTACTCCTCTACGTCTACTTCTATCATCCCTTGGGTTACAGCGTCACGCACCTTCTTTTTGAACGTGATTTTTCTCCAATGAGGGGGAGGAGGGGGTCCACGAACATTAGGCAAATTACGCTGCAGCACTTATATTATTGCACTGGTTGGCTATTAACTGCGAGCAGGCAGAATGCCATTCAATGCATTTGGGAATACGGCGAACATAAATAAAGAAACAAAGTTGCTTGTCAGCTTTGCCTAACAAGCAACCATATTTATTAAAATAAGCCCAAAAAACGCAACCCACGTCCCGAGACTTTTTTACGCGACTTTACAAAAAAAAGAAGCCCAAAGTCACGTATAATACGTGGACTTGGCAACTCTGCAGACATCACTATCTCATCGTCTTAAAAAAAAAAAAAAGTACAATGGTAGTACCATGGTCTTTTAAACATGTGCAGTGGTAATACTAGGGTTATTTTTAAGGATTAATGGTACCATATTAAACCATGGTAATATGGAAAAAATAAAAAAAGCATACAAATGACCACAGTTCTATCTATGCAGTGGTATTACCATTTTATCATCAAAGAGATGGTATTCAATCAAAACAGCCACAGACACAATCTAGAAGTGATTCTAAACCGCTAAGCAATATTCCTGAATTAATATATCATCATAATCTTTGATTTTAAACTTTATTCTTTTGGTTTTCTTCTGATTACTGTATTTTATTGTACTTTATTTTATATTGGATTCATAAGTTAGAAAAATGTTACTTTTATGTTGAAAAAGATTCACCAAGGCAGATTTTTACTTAACTTAAAGCTAAAGCAGATTTAAGAAATTGTTTTAGTTTGTAGTGACTCATTGCTCTCCTATTTTATGAAAAATGTTGTAATATGTGAAGGAATAATGAAGTAATAAATAGTATGATAAAAGTGTTTGAATATGTTTGTGGTGTGCAGGTGTGGTCACTGTCAGAGGCTGCAGGGGGCGTGGAATGAGTTGGCAGATAAATATAACAGTATGGAAGCTCCTCCAGTGTATGTTGTGAAAGTCGACTGCACAAAAGACACAAAGTTTTGCTCCAGTGAGCATGGGATCCGTGGATACCCCACGTAAGCATTGTTTCTCTGTTAGTACTGTACATCAACTAAAAAGGTGTTTCACTTATGCAGAATGCCAGTAAAATGATTCAGATGTGTAAAAACATTTTATATGCATGATTTATAGTCACCTGACAGTCATGTACCTAAGGTAAAATTACATGTGGTTTGATTAATCATTGACTGACTAACTTGGTGTTTGTTTTACAGTCTGAAGTTGTTTAAACCTGACCAGGAGGCTGTAAAGTATCAGGGCCCAAGAGATCTGCAGGCGCTGGAGAGCTGGATGCTGAAAACCCTTCAGGAGGAACCTGAAGTAAGATCATAAACAGCTAAAATGTTTTTATGACTAGAAAAAAATCTTATGCTTAATTTTAAAAGCACTTTGTCAAATACATGGTCAAGGTTTAATTAAAAAATGTCACAATATTACAGCACTCGTTCGTATTTTGTCTTTCTCCATCTCACCCCAGGAACCCCAGACTGAACCCGAGCCTCCCAAAGTCCCTGAACCCAAACAGGGCCTGTATGAACTCACAGCCACAAACTTCAATTCACACATCTCTAAAGGTAGTAGCCCAAACATCTTTTAAAAAATATATTCATGGATGCAGTCTAGGAAAAAATGCCTGAAAACATTATGACAATTAATACAATCTTTCAATCAATACTGAATGGTAGTAGTGATGAACTGGGCGATGAAACACTATATTGTTGAGTCATGCTAAAATTCATGTCGATAACAATGATAAGCTCTGGACATTTTTACTCTATGTATTAATCTAACAGAAGAAATACATGTGACAACAGCCAGTCAGTGACAGAAATCTGCATGTTCTGCGTAAATGAATGGCACGGTTTCATCTGATACACAAACTCAAACACGAATGATGCTCATGGTGATTTCAGCATCTGCGTTTATGGATTTTTTTTTTCTCATTTTGTCTCTCATAGTTGAGGTATGCCTATGATGAAAATTACAGGCCTCTCTCATCTTATTAAGTGGGAGAACTTGCACAATTGGTGGCTGACTAAATACTTTTTTTCCCCACTGTATGAGGACATGAACTTCAATCTACTTTTTTTCTAATTTTCTACTTGAAACAATAGAATAAGAAGAATAAGTTACCGATCAGATAAAATCAGTATTAACAAAATTAATTTGCACTACAGAGGTGGCACAGAAGAACACAAAAGTGGCATGTATATTTACAGACATTTAATAAGGCTCAGAGGTGGCATGGGTGCAGTTAAATTCATAAATTAATGTTGAGATTAATATAGAAATAGTAAATGATTTAAAAAACTGAAATTATACTTTAAAAATTAGACTAAAACTGCCAGTAGGTGGCAGCAAGTCACTGATTTTATCACTGAATAATTAATTCAGTTGATTTGTTCAAACGACTGATTCATTCAGGAACAAAGCAAGTGTCTTTATGAATGGGTAATTGAATAATTGACTCATTAGATCCACTTAAAAACACACATTCTTTCATAAACAAAACATTGCTGTGTTTGCTTAGAGATGTGCAGCGGCTCAGTCATGACTTTGTTTGAAACTATTTTCGTTGACGAAATATTGATTTAATAACAGTTCAGTAAACAAGAAGTTAATATTAGTAACTTACATTGTCTAACTACAACAGTATTGCCTAATTTTGCAGATCACATTTGCAGACTCCTTTATCATTAAAAGCTGCTACTCGTCTTCGTTCATCGCGATCTCACAAAGTTCCATTATAATCAATGAATCTCTTATTTACATCATGTCTGCACTTTGTTATAGTAGAGGATTCGTGAGCTTGCATAACTCAGCACTGAACAAAGCTCTGGTGTTTTGAGCAGTGAGTGAATTCTGACTAACATTGCATTGCATTCAAGGAATTCTACAGATATGTCTGTGATGCATTACTCAACACTGCAAAAACACATTGTATGTAAGAAACCATTGAAGCTCCTCGAGCACAAACACAAATATGCTGATTGACTCAGTCGCAGCTGGTGCTCCTACAGTGTTTCCCCTGCCATTATATTAGGGGGGCGCCCTGCCCCGCCAATATCAACCCCCCTCCGAAGGTAGTTAATTTTATTCAATTTTATTTTCTATATAGCACCAGATCACAACAGAATTAATTTAAGGTTACCTTTCCTATAGAATAGGTCTATACCTTGTTGTTTTATTAAACAAACTAAATAGCCTTGTGTTATTTATCTTATGAGTACACTTAAATATGGCCTAGTATATGTAAATATTAAGCCATAAAAAGACTATTTAAACATGAAATACACACACGTTCTGCGTGTCTAGCGTTGTAACGGTATGATAATCGTCTCAGAAAATATCACGGTTTCCACGGTTTTCACTGTATATATTAAACAATAATTCTTATCAGTAACAATGACTCTTAAAAGAACAAGAACAAGTTATTTGAGTGAACAAATCCTTTATTACAACAAACTTGAAACCATTTTAATGAAATAAAGTCTCCCTTCTGAACAAAATAAATAAAAAACAATAAAAAATTAAGCTTGTACACCTTATGTATATCTATATCACACTTTAACATTTTAATTAATGTTTTAAAATGTTATCAAATGAAAATGTACAACTCCTTTTATTTTTAAGTTAAAACATGGACAAACATTATATTCCTTGAAAACAATGTTTAAATTATTTTATTATAAATAATATTATTGTTGTTGTTATAACTTTGAAATAGCCTACAATGTACAATGCTAATATCATAATATGCAATGTCATTATTTCAAGTTAAATCAAACTTTTATTTTGACGGGTTGTAGGCAGACCTGTGTATTTAACAATGGTTTTTCTCAAATAAAACTAGGAGATGTTTATTTACATTTTCTCTCAGAGCAGCTCTGCTGATGTTCATGTTTATGTATCTTAGACGCTGAAAACACCATTTATGTATGCGTACTTCAGTATGTAATAGATAAAACGGCGCCACTCAGAGACATGTAGAAACAAGCAGATTATTTATATAGCAGTCTCTTTGCGCATAAATATTCACAGACATTTATCATATCTACTTTTGATTGATACATCCATCAGATGGCGCGTTTTATGTGACATCCTCGTTATACTGTAAATTCCATATTCACGACTGTGCCGGGATTCCCTCTTCATCACGGAAATCATACGGTCTCAATTTATAACTTGTTGTTAATGCGACACAACTTAATCTGCATGGAGATATGGTGTCAGCGAATATGAGCGAAGATGTTGGATGTATTGCCTGCTTTTGCAGCCACATTGCGTCCACATTTTTTGCAAATTGGATCCATCCTCAAGGACAAACCCGCGTGATGGAGATTAGATATAATCTCTGTCTCTGTCATTTTCTCAGGGTGTCCGCAGGGTCTTAAAAAGTATTAAAAGTTGATAAATCAATTTAGAGAAGATTAAGTCTTAAATGGCATTTTCCAAGGTATTACATTTTGTATTATCTTTTCATTATGTATATTTGTCTGAATAGTGAGGTTCTATGTAGTTTATTTATGGATTCCTGCAAGATTTGATGTCATCTGTTACAGAGCTCACTGACTGACTGCGCCACTGCGTGATAGCGCGGGGCTTGTTGATCCCGCTCTCGCTGAATTTCTGACCATTACCGCATGCTCCCATCCGCTCCCACGATTTTTGTGTCCGCTACCGCAAACATTCTAATATTGTATATAATTTTCGCGCATCAGGGCGCAGCTATCAATATGTGGGGTATTTAAATCCCTTTTGAATGAGCGCTCGCAGTCGCATTGTGTAAAGTGAGCACATCTTACGATAAAAGATATTTGTCAATGAGCTCGGGATCTGTTGAGGAGAAAATCCTCCAACATCTTGTCAGTTATCTCTCGTTACTTTTGACCCGTGATCAGTCAAATCTGCTGCTCGTGTTGGATGCAGGGTTGTTGTTGTTTTTTTCCACGAAAATTTAACGTATCTTTAGATTTATTTGAACCTGCATTCTTTAGAAATATTGTATTTTAGTATCTTTTTTTGACTTTGAAAGAGATGCATATCTTGCATATTCTGTGGGGACTTTGGAGTAGATCAAGACAGTTACAGTGTGTGCTCATACTGGATTTATTGTCAAAACATCTTTCGTCACATTTATGCTTTTAATAAAATATTTCATTTTGTTGGTTTAATTAGCCCAAGCCTCTAAACGTGACAGCATTGTAATGCTTGTGTTTGTTTGTTTTCAGTTTCCGAGGGCAAAAGATACGAGTTTTACAGGTGTAACGGTGGAAGAGTGCCGAATACTATTGGCAACAGGTGAGGATTTCTTAAGCTCAGTTGTCAGAAATGTTCCATTTAACTACATTAATGGGTTGGATTCTTATGCTCACCGATGTTGCATTTTTTGATTAAAATAAAAAGTAAAAACAGTAATATTGTGATATTAATATTACAATTCAAAATAACTGTTTTCTAATTTATTATTATGATGGCAAAGCTGAATTTTCAGCAGCCATTACTCCAGTCTTGAGTTTCACTTCATCACATGAAATTGTTCTAAATATGCTCGAGTAACATTTCTTATCAAAACAGTTTGTGGAAACGGTGCTAGAATTTTTTTTTCAGGATTCTTTGATTAATAGAAAGCAAAAAGAAACATCATTTTTACTTTTTCTCATTTCTTTGTTTTGCAGGAAACATGCAGCACACAGATGAGGAGAAAAAGGGATTGTGGAAGACACTAATGGAGCGCTTCTCCTCCAAACCTGAAGATGGAACTCCTGAAAAAGCTGAAAAATAATCAGCATATTGCACTGATCTTATTTATTCCCCTTTGCTCTTTTTCAAATAAAAGGATTAAGGTGTGTATGTAAATCTTCACTTCTAACAGCTGTAGCTCTCTTCATGTTGATCTTTCATGTCGAACAGAGACTTCCAAGAAGTAAAACTGATTGTTTTATTTCAGGGTGTCCGCGGGGTCTTAAAAAGTATTAAAAGTTGATAAATCAATTTAGAGAAGATTAAGTCTTAAATGGCATTTTCCAAGGTATTACATTTTGTATTATCTTTTCATTATGTATATTTGTCTGAATAGTGAGGTTCTATGTAGTTTATTTATGGATTCCTGCAAGATTTGATGTCATCTGTTACAGAGCTCACTGACTGACTGCGCCACTGCGTGATAGCGCGGGGCTTGTTGATCCCGCTCTCGCTGAATTTCTGACCATTACCGCATGCTCCCATCCGCTCCCACGATTTTTGTGTCCGCTACCGCAAACATTCTAATATTGTATATAATTTTCGCGCATCAGGGCGCAGCTATCAATATGTGGGGTATTTAAATCCCTTTTGAATGAGCGCTCGCAGTCGCATTGTGTAAAGTGAGCACATCTTACGATAAAAGATATTTGTCAATGAGCTCGGGATCTGTTGAGGAGAAAATCCTCCAACATCTTGTCAGTTATCTCTCGTTACTTTTGACCCGTGATCAGTCAAATCTGCTGCTCGTGTTGGATGCAGGGTTGTTGTTGTTTTTTTCCACGAAATTGGGCTGCTTTTAATCTGTTGCCGTGGGTTGATTTTTCCCCAG